GCAGCTTGCAATCTCAAAGAAAGTCGGGGGCGTTTCCTTTCGACCAAAATGAGCTTTCAAACATGTCAGCTACATGTCATGTACACCCATGTTCGGTCATGCACAGTCATGTTCAGTGAGGCTGTGCTTTTCCACATGTCTGTGCAAGCATGCTGCCACAGATGTGAGTGCACAGCAGACATGTCAGTCATGCTGATGTCAGATTCAAGATGTCAGTACATACCACATGAGTGAAAAATGGCAAGAGGCAAAGCCAGAATCCTCTACACATTCTGTTCCTCTGTGTTTGAGATGACTGATCCTAAGTAAAATCCAATCAGTCTAGAGCGAGGATTGCACAAGTGTGTGTGGGCGCGTATGTCGGCACCAATCTGTTGAACCTGCCTGAATAAACATTGGGACTCATTGGGACATGCATGCTTCTGACGACAACCGCGCTGCCTGCTGCTTGCAACAAGCATTGCATACAAGTTTCACTCTTGACTCATATTTATCTGTGGGCCGGAGGTGTGCAGACAAGATACACATGTTAGACTTGTGATTGCATCTTGACCTGGCATCTGTTCACGTCACTCATCACACTCATCCCGCTGATCCAAGCGTCTCAAAGAAAGATGGCTGGATGACCCGTGCAATGCATGCCTCATGACAAATGAGACCGCATGTTGCAGGACGGAAAGCACTGCAGAATTGGAATGTCTGAGGAGCCAGGCAGCCATATGGACATTGGGTCCTTCCTGTGCTTGGAATTGGGTAGCGAAGAACGGCATGCGGCGGTTTTATGAAAAATCCTTCCCCAGCGGGAGGCCAGCACCAACTCCCAAGGAGAGGGCGAGAGCCTTTGACAGCAGCCTCAGTCTGGCGGTGCGAACAATGCGAACTGGGTGCAAACTGGGATCGTTGGCCATCCCTTGGCTGGCGGCACTCGGAAGGTCAGGAAGTTGAAAAGGACCTTGCCAAAGAGCATCGCCTCGGACACAAAATGCTAAATGTGGGAAGGCCAAGACCCTGAGACCCTGAGGCCCTCTGAGGCCCTGCGCCTTCATCTCTGGAAAGCCACTTCCCTCGGCCTCCACCTGACATCTGAAATCTGTCCACATTGCTGACCAGACTCTGTTGGCTGGAGGGCTGGACTGTAGGTCGAACGATGATCCGCGCGAGACAGGCCATCCCGCAATTGAAGCCCAGCGCTTTGAGCGGGGCCCCGAGGGTCAGCGTGGAGCGCAGCAAGCCCGTGGCGTAAGTGAAGCGGTCGATGAGAAACGACAAACTGCTGGAGAGGACCTCGTTTGGCAGGGAGGAGGAAGAGGGAAAGAAAAAGCAGAGCATAAAGCATAAAGCAAAATACCCCCCACACACACACACACACACGCACACGCACACCACACGCACACACACACACACACACCCACCCACACACACACACACACACACACACCCGCACGCACACACACGCACACACACACACACACCCCC